AAGAAGGAAATGGGAAGCTAGGAAGGTACCCGTGGGTAAAGGAGGAGCTGTGGAAAGCTTGAGGGAGGTGAGAGTTTCCGCACAGCTGGAGAGGGGAGTCGTGAGAGAATGGATAAGAAATGAGGCTGGAGAGGCAGCTGGGGTTATATTTATGAAGGGCTTACACCAAAATTGGATGCGGAGCCCAAATTTACAGTATCCAGATGTTGTGGGAATCCCCAAGCAGGCACTAGACTGACGAACCTCCTGTCTGCCCAGCAAAAGACCAAAGCGAAGACTCCAGCCAGGAACATTTCCACAACTCAGCGAGTACACAGACTCCCACAGCGGGGGACAGTCCTCTTAAAGCTGTGTTCACCCACAAAAAATAGAATCTACAGAGGAAAAACTTTTGTGAAGAAAATTCCACAGAAACAAAAACAGGATGATGAGCATTCTGAGAGTCTGAAATATTAGAATAATCTGAAAGAGATTATTAAACAAGTTCTTAGTATTTCAAAGAAAAAGAACAGCAATCATGGTGAAAAGAAATAGGGCAGGATGAAAGAAAAGGTTGATTTGTAAGATGATAAACTATCCAGCAGTTTAAAAGATAATTGAATTTAAAAAGCTATCAATGGATTTTACAGAGTGGAAAATAGATTTAAGGGGAAGAGAGATGTCAGGAAAACATGGAGGAGAGACCACACAGAGAGTGATAAAGAGAATACAGGGATGATGTGCCAAATAGATGACTCTGAAGGTTGACTCTGTGGTCACCTTTTCTTAGTTTCCTAGTCTCTGTTGAGACTCTCTCTGTGTGTGGACATGTCCTGTGATGCTTCTAACCAGAGGCTTTGTCAGAACCTGACAAAGCCAAGGGATATTTGTGATTACATGAGCATCATTACATGACAACATTTTATTAAACTGTCTTGCTGGACTCTCTCCCTTTTTGACTTTGAGAAAGTAAGGAGCCATGTTGGGGAGCCCCATGTGGCCAGGAACTGTGTGGGCTGTCTCTGAGCCATAGTCACAAAACAACTGAGGTCTGAGGTCCTTCAGATGTAAGGAATTGAACTCTACCAACCAACTGTGTGGACTTGGAAGTGGATTTCTCTTCTATGGAGCCTCAAATGAGATTACATCCCCAGTTGACAACTGCTCTTGATAAACTTCTAAGCCTAGGACCCAGGTGAGCCATGCCTGGACTGACTCCTGCACATGGACACTGTATGATAATTAACCTGTAGTTTTAAGTTTGAAAAGATATTGTTATAGAGCAGTAGATAAATAATACAAATGGGTCGTTCATATGGACCCATGGAGATAGAGAATATAAAAGCCAATATATCTGTAACATGAAACTCAAATTTATATGCTTAGTCCAGATTTGTTTCTTGAACTACAGAATGAAATTTCCATACTGATTGATTAATAGGTATCCCATAAAACCTTACATTTATTCATTTCTCAATAAGTGAATATTTAAAATATAATATTCATCAAATGTAACTCATTTTCCCTTATCATCCTACACCTTCTTTAAAACAATCACAAGGGCTTACCACTTCAGACTTGGTTAATTTCTCTCCTTCCCTATATCACCTTCAACTGTGAAAGGTAGAGCAAAGTCTCCTTTCATTTTGTCTGTATCCTATACAACCTCTTAACTATGTTTTTCTGGGTCTTGTCTTTTTTTTTTTTTCTTTTTGATCCATCCTCTACACTGCAGCCCAGGGGATTTTTAAAAGTGCTAGTAAGATTATGTCATTTTTTTTCTGTTTGAAACCTTTGAAAGACTTCCCATTGTTCTTCAGATGAAAAGCCAACTTCTCCACCATGGCATGTAAGGACTCTCTTCAACTCAGTTCTATGGCCCCAGTCTTACCATGTCCCCCATCTCTTTGTGCTCTTGTCACACTGTCCAACCTTGACCTGAAACTCTCTTGGTTGTTCCTTCTCTCCTTTCAGAGCCTGGCTTCTGTTTACCTTTGAATCTCAGCTTAGGTTTGGGGAAACGTTCCTTGACCTTCCACATCCATCTTTAAAATTAGGTGAAATGCTCCTCCTCTGCACACTCTTCCTGCCGGTGCTCAACTCCATCTCAGCACAGCCCTGGGACCTGCCCCTCTGTCTTCCTACATTCTCTGTGAGAGCTTCAGCTTGTTGTGAGCAAGCTTGGCATCTAATTTATAGTCATATTCCCAGCACCTAGCCTTGGGCCATGCACACAATATTCATTTAGCATGTGTTGAATAAACCAGAAAACTTAGAGAAGTGAAATAATCCATAGCAGTGACACTATTAGCAGTTGAGTAAAATTCTTCACTGTTTTCCTACTTAAATTACCATACTCAAATTTTATATAGCACATTTCTAAAATAAGTTTCAATTAAACATTAAAAAATCACAGCTGAATAGCTACTATCTCAAACCCACACATTGCAAAAGGATCTTTCAGCAAAACTTAGTGAAGAGTTTATAAGGTGAGAGATTTTGATTGACCTTGTGTTAAAAAAAAACATGGTTTTTAAAAAATCATGTATTTAAAAATGGCTTATCACAGTTTTTGGCACAGAATAAGCTGTGCCGAAAGTTGAATTAGATTTTGTTGTCTCTCCTGGTTACCAAAATACCAATTTCTCCAAATTTGCCTATTCTTTTTCTCTTTAATTCAAAATAGAGAGTAACAAAACCCAATCACTATGCACACACACACACATACAAAGGAGGAGGTGTGGCCCAAGTATTGAAACATACTTTTACTTAGTTCAGATGTTAAATCTGAAAAATGAGGAAAATAAAATTAGTTTTTATGCAGATAAATGCAGGCTATATTTTAGAAGTTTGGTCCAGAGTAGTGTTTGAGAACTTCTGTTACTTAGGTGAGATGTGTCCTCCTAAAAGCTAGGTTGAACTAAGGCTAGGTTTATCAGGGACAATATAAATCAATAGTCAGAACAATTAGGGTTGCAATCAGTAATAGATTGCCAACTAGATGATTACTTGCCAGAGAGGGAAAGTACATGGACTTGACCTTGATGCCACAGTGTTTATTTGCAGGGACAGGTGGAGAAAGAGATCATGATCCAGGAGATTGGGACTAGTGCTTCTGTGTTCCTTATGTGGATTATGTGTGTGTACGCATGCACGTTTGCACACATGGGCCTGCCTTGTGGATATCTTACCATGCAAAGCACAGTAAAAGAAAACAAAGACAGTCTCATCAGAGGGTGAGAAATAGAAGGTGCAGGAGAAAAGGTTTTATTTTTCTATGCAAATGTGTAAAAGCCATAGTCACACACAACACAGTTGAAACTACAGAAAAATAAAGAGAAAAGATAGTACGTTTTTAAAGTCAGATATTGCATGACAAGAACACATTTGGAAAACAGAAAGCAGTTGACAATTACAGTGACAATAGAGGCTTCAGAATTGCACAAAGAGATTGTGAGTTAATATTTCTTAGATATATTTTTGGTAGGAAAAAAAATTACATTTGGAATGGCCTATGAGTTTATAATTACAGATATGTCTAGAAGGGAGTAAATGTGAAAACTACGTGTATGGTCTTCAGCTGTATATTATCTACTGTTTATTGCAAATATTTAGGAATGCAAATGTTGGGGGAAAGCTTTCCCCATGTCTCTTGCCAAAAAATCTGGGATGTGAAGGAAATGGATGTGTATAAAGAATTGATTTCAAAATTAGATACTTTTGGTTTGAAGTGATCGCTGGTACTCCATCAAATATTTGCTGCATAAATATTCAATTACTATTGTAAAATAAAATGTAATGTGTTTTCTTTGCTTTTAGATCACACTATTTTGTCCTCCTGATTGTCTGAACATATATTTAGGTTTACCTTGGTCATTTCCAGAGAAAAACAACGTTCTTAAAATAATTAGAAGATTGGATATCACTCAGTGAATAAATTATGCTTACATATTCAAACCAGGGAAGCTCCCAAAGACATTGACACATTCACAAAATGACATTTAGTAGATTATTGTTATTTTACTTGTGTTCTGAATTAATTCATAAAATCCAGTATTTTTCCCTTTCAATGAACACAAACAAAGCCTCCTTTGGACAGATATATGTACACAAATATATTTAGCATAAGTGATAAAATGTCAGTGAAAACTTGATAGAAAAGCCAACTAATGCATAAATTTATCAACAATCAATTTTTGCATGGATAAAAGGGAAAGTATTGCAAAAAAAAAAGAGAAAATGTTATCTGTTATTTTATGGTAAAAGAGAAGGTCTTAAAAATCAGAAATTACACTAGCAAAGTATAATTTAAATATTGATACCAGAGCATTCTCTTTATATAATTTTAGGGATATAATTCTCTGCTTTTCCTTTATACATTTATCACTTATCAGAGAACTGGCAACAATTCATTTGAATGGCTTTGAATGAAAACATACATGATATAAAACAGTTTAGAGTAGTTTTCAAATTTTTGTGTCATAAATAATAGATGAGAATAAAGAACATATGTGAAAATAGAATTATAGTGAATAGAGGAACTGACAGGAGGAAAGTATGTCTGTAAAAAAAAATGGAGTGGGGAGAAAATGGTTTCTTAAACCATTCAAATATGGAAGTATTAAAAAATGATAACATATTTATTTGTAATAAATACAGTCAATACTTCTACTTGTGTTAAGACTTTTTCTTCATTTCTTAAAGCTAGGATAGGAAAATATTTTATACAGACACAAAGTACTTGTGATATGCTTAATATAGGCCTTGAATTTATTTCCATTTTCAAGATGGTTTTTACTTAAAAAAATTTTTTTTTCTTATTTAGAGGTCTAAAGTGAATCAAGGCATGTCCTGAAACTCCAGGGCTTTTACACTGGGGAATGTTGAAATGAGGGCTAGTAATCTTCCTGTTCGCCCCACTCCACAACCGGCTCATCGTTCATGCGCAGAATGAGGTAGGAAAGAAGCTGAAAAAGGTTCTGCCACAGTAAGAGGGACACATAAAAGGACAGGCCGCTTACGTCCAGCTCGCAGCGCTCCCCAGCGAAGGCGACATCGCAGAGGCACTGGAATTTGTCGAGTAGGTCCTGGCACAGGCCTCCGTTGAAACAGGGATTGGAGGCGCACTCATCAATGTCCTTTTCACACCTTTGAAAATAAACAGAAACAGCAGAGACTCAGGGCCTGGTTTAATAAATGGGCTGTGAAATGGGGAACGAAACAGTTCGCCTCATCTACCCAGGACCGCACCATCTTATCTGCCAATTCCCACACAATTTATATATATATATATATATTTGATAATATGGGAAATGTTCCTTCAAACTCCTTCGGCCAGTTGTGGTTTTAATAGAAATTATCTGTGCACACATGTGGGGGCACACAAACGCACACGCTGGATTAATTAGAATGGGAAAACAGGTGTGACTATTTAGAAACCAAGGGAACACGGGCCATGCATAGAACAGTTTCTCCCTTAAGAGCATTAGTGGGTTTGCCACCTTATAAATGCTCGGTTTATTAGGTGCACTTAGAAGTCATGAGGTGAGGCTGCACTTTGCCAACCTAGAGTCTGCAGAGCAGACCTACATTTAAGCTGTCAGGATGCTAGTACACCGGCACCCTCAGGTGAGCCACCCAACAGACACAACAAAACAGTGAATTCTGAGAGATTTTAAATTACACTGAAAATCCATTTTTTTTAAATTTGAGCAAAAAGTGGGTAATTAGATTATTTTACTTGCTAATAAATCTGTTTCAAAAGCTAATCATAATTTTAGTTGATCCAATAAAATGCCTTTCAATGGCAAATTTTTCAAAACAAATTTCAACGTCAATTCTAAAGTAAATTGAAATTTTCCTCTTCCCTGGACACCATCACTACTACTACTACTATTCTTCTTCACCCCCCTCTTCCTCCTCCCCCTCTTCTTCTTCCTCCTCCTCCTCCTTCTCCTTTTTATTTACCTTATTCTCCACCAACATTTTTGACTTTTAATTATTTTAACTGATAATATAAAACCATAAAAATTGTGTGTATTCATGGTATTTGATACATGTGTACATTGTATGTTTAAGTTAGGTTAAACTTCTCTCTCTCCTCAAACATGATTCATCTCTTTCTGATAAAAACTTTCAAATTCCTTTCATCTAGGTTTTTGAAATATACAGTACATTATTGTTACCTATGGTCAGCAACTTGTTCTTATTTATACTCATTGATTAATTCACCAACTACTCATTCAGTCATTCAGTAGATTTTATCATGTGCCAAACACTGCTCAGGCCTTCAAATAAAGCAATGACTGAAACATCTGAATTATTGTAGGAAATTCATATAAAATCTCAGATTCAAGAATTACAGCAGAGCAGCTTATAATGTTGAAGTTTGATGTAAACAATTTTTAATGTCCTCTACCTTCCAAAACATAGAACTTCCATGTAATCAACCCACGGTATAGAAAAATGAAGATTTCTTCCAAGAAAAACAGTTCTTTATCCCATTGAATACCAAGCATAGCTGAGACATTTTGTTTTCCTCTTTTGGCTTAACCTACTGGGCTGGAAGGAGTCTTTTCTGATTAGATCTGAGCAAAACTTGACAATTCACAGAAGCTTGCCAAGCACTCTCTGTCCTGGGTGGGCCAACGTGTTCACATCATCCATCATCCAACCTACCAGAATGACACTATAAAGTTGGAGGTGTCTCCAGGCAAGAGAGAAGTCAGTGTATTAGAGGGCAGCTCTTCAATATCCTTGGATGTCCCAAAAGTCTCATTTCCCTAGTCCTTGGGAGATTGTCCCAAGTTTTCTAGACTTCCTATAGCTACTCTTTCTCACCTATTTATATTTTGAGCTAAACAGTGAATAACACATACACATGTATAACAAGCAACACTGAAGCTTTCATTCAAAGCATTTATAGATGGAAAGTCTAAATAAATCCACTGGTATCCAAAGAATTAACTAATGATGAATTAAGTCTTTGAAAGTACTGAATCTACCTGAGATTTGCTATTTTAGAAATCATGTTGTGCCAGACAACTTTATCCAGATGAGAAGTTTATTCAGAGAGAAAGGAAAATTATGAGCTTTCTTTTTCATATTTCAAATCAACAACTTAAATTTCAATGCAAAATATAATTTAAAAATAAATAAATACATTTAAGAGGAGAGGTCAATATTTGTTGTACATAGGGGCAAGGTGTAACAGAAAAATAATCCAAGATTTCAGGTGAGCTCTGTGCATTGTGACATCAACAGAAGTGGTGGAATTAGGCCAGGAAGTGATCAGCACTTAAGGCAGTTTTTCAAAATTTAGGACAAGGAAATAATTTTGAAAAAATAAATAAATAAACCTTTTAGAAGACATATGGAATTGGAAATCATCTGGACCATTTCTGAATTAATAATTGCATGAAATAGATTTGTGAAATGGAAAGTGTGACTTTAGTCTATCTCTTTCCACACCTATACACTTGGACTGCCTATGCCACCTAGAACATTCTGAAGGGTAATATGCTCCCTGTTTGTTTTGTAAAAATGGCAAAAGAGCTGCATCTGTGTGATGCCAAAAGAGTCAGCTGAGAAACTGAAAATTCAAATTAATCCAAAGTGTAATTGGAGCAGGGACATTCCTATTATTTTACTATCTGTTCTTCTGGGAAATTTCAGTTACAATCTTTGTTAGTTATGTTGCTCTGTGTAGAAAGTTTGACCAGAAAGAGCTTATCCTGGATGGAACATGAGATGGAGGAGTAATTTTTCCATTTTCTTTTAATTGTGGTGAGCAAAAATTTATTCATACAATTATGCCAACATATCCAATAAATGAATAGAGGCTTCCAAGGCAGCTCAACCTTACTGCTACATACGTTTGAATGGACACCTGATCTGTCACTTAACCTGTCAGTCTTACCTTGCGCATATGCAAAATAAGAACAGTAAAACCTACCTTGGAGAGCTCTAAGAATGAGGGATGATATCATAAGGTGCATGACACAATGATAAACAAATGCTTGACTATTAGGTCTCTATAATGTTGATAACCTATAGAGTTCTGGTTTGCAACTGCTTGGGGGACACAGGTTCCTTTGGGAATCTGATACATGTTATGAAGAACTTGCTTTCTCCCTTGATCTCACCCTCAGCCAATCATACACATATGCAAATTTCCCCGCATTTTCAGCAGGTCACAGATTGTCTAAAGTCAGTGACTGTCCCTGTAGAAAGTGAGGAAGAACTGAAGGCATTGCTCTGGGAAAGACCAAATCAGATGGGTAAGGTGTACATACTTTTTGGATTGTAGGTAATTCTAAGAGGCAATCTTTCAGGTGCATGTCATTTTACTTCAATAGCAACCATATTTGCATTGTGTATTAGAGTTAGTGGGAAAAATATGAATCCAGAAGTACTTATAAGAAAGAAAAATAGCACATTATACATTTTTAATAAAACATATTTCCATATTCGAAGTCCTGGCTAATAAAATGTTCTCTACTTTGACCTACACTGTAAATTTACTTCTTTTTTATTGCTCAACTCTGCCTTAGACCTATATTTCAGCATAGATATTCCTATGGGAACTAAGATGAAAAATTAGAGGAGAAAATGAACTCCAAGTAATCCCACTGTTCTTTAGCCCAGATTTCTCTTCCAGAATGTTCTAAGGTGACTTACCGTTCTCCGGTAAAACCTGGCCGGCACATACATTTTAATTCAGTCTGAAACTCTGTGCAGTTACCTCCATTGTAGCAAGTGAGATTTGTCTGTTCATTCCCACAGACTGTTGAGGGTAATCTTCTGTATCTAGAAAGAGAAAAGTAACAGCCACAGCTGTTCATCTTGTTCATTTTATTCAAGAAAACTTTTTTGAAAAGTTCACATATGCAGTCAATGTCAAGCTAATTAGGTACTCAGTCTGGAGGCTTTCTAAGTGCTGAATTGTGCTGCATTATACCAGCACCACTTTCTCCAGTAAAAAATTCCTGCTGGAGGGTACTGTAGCAAGCCTGGCTATCCATCTTCTATTCTACACAGTTTTTATTTGGGAGATAAGATCTATGCCATGGGGTGGCAATAAATTCAGAGTTGGAAAGGAACTTGCTACAGTTAGATTTGCCGCCGCTCTGCTAATAAATCAACAAAGGCCATAGGAAAATTGCATCTCTATAAAGGCCAGGAAAGCAAGGACAGCACTGTGGTACCCAAACACTCATGCGATTTCTCTGTTGGCTTTCAGAGCTAAACTCCAGTTGCCCTGCCAAGACTTGCTGCTCTCTCTCCAATAATTCATAGCTTTGCAGAATGCAAGCCAAGTGCTGTCCAGGAGGTTTGTATATAGCACTCATGGCAACTGCATGTGAATTCAGCCTGCAACTCTCTTCTGCAACAACAAAACTGCACATGCTAAAGAATTCTTATAAAAGGCAGAGCAAATTGTTAAAAGCTGAGCTGAACATCATGGCTAGACAAAACCCTAGTTTCAAAGGACTGATGTTCAAAAAGATTTTAAGAATGTTGCTTAGGTCCTTTGGCCCACTGTGTATGTGCTTGGTATCGGATACAGAATAAATATTCAGGAACTGTAAAATGAATTCCTTTTTGTCCTGTCATGTTTGTTGTAGCTAATGTGGAGAAACTAGACTAGATGATAGTAAGAATGTCTCTTATCACAAGAGCTAATCACTTCTACTTTTAAAAGAAGATATAAGAACATTTCAAAAGAGTCAAAGATGTCAACCAGCTTTGAAAGAAGTCAATTAGCAATGCAAATATGAAGCTCTGTATACATCTTAGGTTCAATAAACAATTTCTGAATCTCATTAGAAGGTACTTTTGAAAAGTTTATACATTAAGAACTTGACTTTGATGAATTAGGCAAAAAAAAAGTTCTAGAGAATAGTTACTAGGGCAAATGTACTTTACTTACCCAAATTCACTGTGGAATGCTACTGATTTTGATCCTGAATAATGGCAAATAAGTGGATGAGCTCACGGAAGTAACATCTAACTGGCATGTTAACACTTAGCAACTATCACTTTGCTATCATATGCTCTGAACAACAATAAATGTTATGAAGATACATCCACATTTTATGGAGATGGATACATGTTATGTCTGCTATAAGATTCATGTAATTAAGGTACCAGCTCTGAATTAGTGTAATGTCTCCAATGTCTACAGGCTGCCAACCCACTCCAGGTGTTCTTGCCAAAGTCCTGGAATGTATTACTTGTTAATAATAACCCTCTCACCTACCCATAATGACTCAATTATTTAGTAAATTTAAAGCAGTATAAGTTGTAAAAACAATAATGGCTTCTACTTACATGGAAACATTGAAGCAATGCGACTTAGTAGGAAAATATTCTTTCTTATCTTTGTTTACACAGCATGAAATAGAAGTGGTTGCTAGAACTAAAATACTGCTTTTGTAGTTTCAGAAAAAAAATTGAGAAATACTTTGAAATGGGCAAGAGATCAGTGGATTATCGTCAGTGGAATACTGGATGTTATATAAAGGATCTCTAGAACAATCTGATTCTATAGTAGTAGATGTCTTAAGATCTTCTTTCTAAGCAATATTACAATTCTGTAAATTGTAGAAAATTATATAAATACAAAAGAATCTTGCTATTGACATGCAAGTGAATTTGTAGCGATACAATTGATTGTCATACTGCAGAAAAGATTATCTCAAATCCTAATTTTGTTCTCCTGTGGAATAGTAAACAGTTTTTCATTTATTAGTAGATCCACTTCATCCTTTCTATTTTTTGTATACATCTATATTCTGTAGATTGTCCTTTGGACTGCTTTTAATATCTCCCTAGTTTATGCATTAATTAATAACTAATAAAATCATCAAAACATGTTCATTTTACGTTTGAAAATCATAAATTCACTTTTTTGAAATTATAATGTAGCCTTTTCAGGATTTCATGAGATTTATCTGGCTGAAATAAACCAGGGCATTATTTTGTTATTAGACATCCTGTCTTCCTTTACAACACTGAAACTCAGTTTTTGTATTTATTGTAAATATATTTGTTTCTTATGACCTTGGGCTGCCAGATCCTGGAGTTATAGTTCATGAGATATATTCTAACAAAGGTGGCTGAGGAAACACTGTCTGGTTGAAACACTACCATTAATACTTGTACGTCATCCCATCAAGATAAATCCCAGCTTTAGATGATCAAATTGTGTTGAAATGACCAAAACCTTTCCCATTCAGCATAGTGTATACATAGGCCTTGAGAAGAGAGCTTCCAGTTTGATAAGAACCAAGCTTCATGGACATTATGCTCACCTGCAAAATTTTCCCGTAAAATTTCCAAAACAGAGGCAAGAATAGCCATTAGTCTCACTAATGCAGGTGGCCCCATTTGCACATTGGTGATTCTGGCAATTGTCTATCTCCATTTCACAGTTCACACCAGTGTATCCAGGCTCACACCTGCAGTGGTAGGCTGCGACTCTGTCAGAGCAGTTGCCATGGATACAGGGGTCTGAAAAGCATTCATCAATGTTGAGTTCACAGTGTGTCCCTGACCATCCCAAGGGACAGGAACAGTGATACGAGCTATAGATGTCTTCACAATTTCCTCCATGCAAACAGGGGTTGGAGTTGCAGACATTTAATTGTAAACAGCCAGTAGCCACTGAATTTGTAGAGATTTTAAGAAACTGCTCTTCCTGAGGTTTATTAGTGAAACCATGAGTATTTTCAAAGTAAGAGAGATAAATGCCTCCTATTTCTATTGTACTTAGACACCCTTGCAGGCCCTTCCTATTGTTAAGAGCTCTGTCACCCACATAAATGTCTGTATTGTCCTTCAAAAAGTTGAGGTTTCCAGTAGCGATTGCACTGGTCACGAAAGGTGTTTGATGGTCCACTTCCATTTGCCACCTGGAGGCCTGGGCCAGTGGGTCTATCATGGAAAGAGCCACTTGGTGCCATGTGCCATCATTCACTGACTGCAGACTTGTAAGATGCAGCACATAAAAGCTGTTGCCACTTCGCAATTGAAAGAATAATCTGGACTCTTGAATGCTAATATTAAGAAACTCAGGCTCTTTTTCTGCGTGCAATATTATCACATTTGCATCTTTTGTTCTGAATCCAAATGTGATATTGGTGAGTTCTCTGGTAATGTTCCCATTACTTCTGAACAATATTTCACTGCTTTGTCCGTTAAAAACAGCATTTGCAATACCTAAAGAGAGAAGGCAACACTAATTAGCAACTTTATTAAGTCTATTATATGTGCTTAATTACCTGCATTAATAGTAGTGATCATCATGTTAATGATATCATGTGTTGATTGTCTGACATGGTGGGTACTGTGCTAGTTGTTTTTTAAAATTATTTCTAATACAAAACTCTTGACTACAAGTGTGGTTATTATCTTCATTTTACAAAAGAAGGAATAGAGACTAACAGAAGCTAAGCAGTCTGCTTATGTTTATTAATTAATAGATAATAAAGGCACAACATAAAACATGGATGGTCTAATACCAAAACACAAACCAGTCTCTTCTTTTTCATTGATATTCTAATGCATGCCAATTTTTATTTTCTGCTAGATCCCCAAAATAAGGCACTGATGATCCATTTCATACGCAAAAAAAAATTGAGCACCAAAAAATTACAAATCCAGCTATAGCAACACAGAAGTCCAACAGTAGAGACTGGTTTCTGATGAAGCTGACCAACAGGGAGGAAAAGGTATATTCTTGCTGGGTGCAAAGGTACACGCCTATAATCCCAGCTACTCAGGAGGTTGAGGAAGGAGGATCACAAATTCAAGGCCAGCTCAGGCAATTTAGCAAGACCCTGTCTCAAAGTAAAATTTTAAAAAACTAGGAATGTAGCTTAGTGTTAGAGCACCCCTGGGTTCAGTCCCTAGGACCCCCATCCACAACACACAGAAATGGGCATTCCCAATGACTGGGTTACCTAACCTGGCAAAAATCCAATTACGTGCCAAGCTACCCACTCTCTACCTATCACCAAATATTTTTGTGTGACTGGGAAAAAAAAAAAACATACAGCCAAATCAACCACCTTTACCTCATCATGTCCAAGTACTATCTGGAAGCAGAGCAGTTTGGGGTAATCATTGCATTTTTCTATTAAAAAATTGTTAAATCTATAAGATTATTAAATCACAACTTGTTCTCTGGAAATGTTTGAACTTATCTCAGTCTCCTGTTTGCATTCTTGAGCAAATAGGAGAAAAAGTGCCCCAGCTTTCCACCAAGTCTGAAACTTCACAGTCCCAAGATGCACTCTGCTTCTCATCCTGTTAAAATGGATGCACCTTCCATGTCCCTGTGCAAGGCCAACCTGGTCAGCAATGTGTTGGGTCCCGTTTATTTTCATCCCTTTTAGGTACTGTTCAGACATGCACCCTCTTTTCTATCATGCTCATTATTTTCCTTCCCTTTTCGTTTCCTGTCTTTACAAATATGCGGCAGTTGTTTCAATATTAAAAAATAGACACAAGTATGAGGCCCCGAAGCATTGTCCCGACTCCCCCACCCTGCTGTTTCCTTTGCTGTTCCTCTCCCCATCAATACTCTTCTAACACTTTCCTATTCTCAAGGTCTCCGCTTTCTTATCTACCATTTTCTCTTTAGTACATGCTACTCAGGTTCTGTTCCAATCACCTCACTTAAACCACTCTTGTTAAGGTCACAGTGACCTCCACGTTATCCAATCCAGTAGTCAATTTGCCATTCTCATTTTTTTCCCACTTTTCAGTAGCAATTGACCTTAAAACACTGTCATTACCCAATGTGTGAGGAAATATACCCAACTACTGTCATCTTTCATATAGACTAATTACTTATTAGGGTCCCTATTTCTGTGATGCTGAGGGTGAATCTAACCACCACTCCTTAGCCCAAGACCTCTATTAGTTGCCATCATATCTAGAAAGCCAAAGTCTTAAACAATACTCACAGGAGTTTTTTTTAATATGGTGCTGAGGATTGAACCCAGCACCTTTCACATGCTTGGTGAGTGCTCTACCGCTGAGCCACAACCCCAGCCCCTCACAGGAGTTTATGTGAGATGACCCCTGCTTAACGTTCCAATTCCAATTCCTTCCACTCTCTTCCTTATCCACATATCCTGCCACTCACTGAAGACAGCAAGCTTCTCCCCGACTCAGATCTTTTATACTTGCTACTACTTAAACCTGGAATATTCTCTCCTAGGCCTTCCTGTACCTGGCTCCTCCTCAGCATTGATAGCTGCTCAAATGTCACCTCCTCTGGGGAGCCTTCCCTGACTATCCAATTTAAAACAACTTCTGCCCTGTGTCCATTCTCCGTTTCACTCTGGGTTTTATTTTCTTCATAACTCCTATCACATTTGAAGTTTAAATTTGTATACTTGTTCCTTGACTGTCTTTCTGTCCTAGAGCACGGGCTTTTTGAGATCAAAAGAGATCTGTCTGGAACTTTGCCTAACACACAATAGGTGCTCAGGAAACTTCAGTAAATGAGTAATCGATGAAAATAACTTTCTCCTTTATTTTGGAAATGACATGATTAGAAATCACAGCAAGAGAAAATTAAAGTGTATCATTCAAGTTTTATTATTTGACTAAATTAAAATCTCATTGTTTTTGATTGTTGAGGTTTTTGTTTTGTTTTGTTTTGTTTTTTCCCCAACCAGGTTTTTGGGTAAGAATTAAGGAGGAAAAGAGCAATGAGTGACTCATATATTTTAAAGTAAATGTTAAAATAACAAATCTCTGAAATCACTTCTTGAGATATAGGTAAAAACCACAATGCACATAACATTTTTCTTTTGACTTTTCTTTGGGGTACTTTGCCATGATAAACACACCTGTATCTAAGGTGAGTTGTAAATTTTTAAATCTTGGTTTAATCCCAGAGGGACGCAGAGATACAGATGATTAAAGATCTAAAGGCAAACTCAAAGTAATGTATGAGCTGTGCTCTCAAGAGTATGTTGTTCTGTTAGACTTAATCTTCTCAATATATTTTATTTGAAAAGAAAGGTAGCAGAATACAACAGTTACTAATAGGGCATTATGTAAAAATGTGGATGTGTAACCGATGTGATTCTGCAATCTGTATTTGGGGTAAAAATGGGAGTTCATAACCCACTTGAATCTAATGTATGAAATATGATATGTCAAGAGCTTTGTAATGTTTTGAACAACCAATAAAAAAAAAGAAAATACAATAGGGTCATAAGATCACACAAAATTAAAAGTATACAAAGAAGCAAAAATGAATCCATGGTTCATATCTGTCAATTATGAAACTGATATACAATTTCTATTGTAAACCTACTATTGATTTCCATTTCTGTCTGCACTAAGTCATACTTCAAAAAGAAGGCTGTTGGGATTTGGGGGGGATGTTGGAGCCAGCTTCTTTTCCTTTTGTAGCAGTCATGGTACAGCAGTAAAGATTTACTTGTTTCTGATACACATGTGGGCCAGTCCAAACTGCTTTGAGTGTACACTGTTCTTGGGCTGCCACTGATTTTTGAAATCCTACTCTTTTTATTCCCCCCTGTGGAAATGTTCCAAGTGACTTGAATGCTGTTGTAGAACACAGCTGGGACTAACAATATTAATATTTCTATCAAAAGAGTAACAATACAATTAATAGTTCATTTTCAACAAGCATGTCAGAGACAGAAGAATGGAAAATGTTGCACTTAAAATCTGTGCTGAGCTAGGGTGTCGTTCAGTAGTACAGACTTGACTAGTATGCACAAGGCCCTGCTGGATCTAATCACCAACTCTGCGTAAATAAATAAATAAATAAATCCATAAAGTTCTGTGTTGGTTAGAAACCATTTTACTTTCTATCAACTCATCATGCTTCTATTTATATGTAGTAGGTATTTCCTAAAAATGAGTTATAAATATACACATTCCTCTAGAAAATTTCCTCAAGTATATCTACAGTTTACCATGTATCATGTAGATCTTTTAAAATATAGAAACATAAAAATTAATGTATTCTCTTGTCTTCAGTTATTTCAGGCACAGTCTAAATAGGATGTCGGAACTGACCTTCAGCCACTCTTACATCTAGTTCCATTCCATTATTTTAGTGCAGTGTTTTAAAATATATTTTATGTATATTTTTATTGTAAGAAGATAATATACTTAATATGTAGAGCAGTTAAGTGAATAACTGATTTGCAGAAAAATAAGTAAATTTACTCATTTAACAAATATTTATTGACAACCTACTATGATGCTTGGCACTATTCTAAGGGCCAACAGTGACTTAAATAACTACATAGAAAAATTTCTTGCACTGTGAAACTTATTTTCTACTGAGTAAAGAGGTGATAAACAAATAAACACATACATGTATGTCAAAATAGTAAAGAACAGGTCAGGTGCAGTGATGCACACCTGTGATCCCAGTGGCTCTGAATGCTGAGGCAGGGGGATTGCAAGTTTGAGGTCAGCCTTAGCAACTTATGGAGGCCCTAAACAATTTAGTGAGAACTTCTTTCAAAATAAAATATAAAAAGGGCTGTTGCTCAGTCACAAAGTGCCCCTGGGTTCAGTACCACGCCCCACAAAAATATCAAGGAATAGTAAGAGATATAAAGAAAAAAAACAGGTAGGAAGACCCTGGTGTCCAAATTTGAATGAAATGGTGGAGAGAAACTGTGAAGCTCTGGGCTGAGACAGTGGAAGAGAAAAAGGTGGTTTATGGGGCCTGAGTGATGAGGTAAAAGATTGGAGTGAGACAGCAGAAGTATCTTGAGCACAAATCTTCAGAGGTTTGTTCTGTTTTTCTCACTCGAAAAGGAAGCAGAGAAACGGAAAGTCGCAGGTGGGAATTTGGGGAAGGGAGGTCATGGGATATATTTGTAATGAGGAAATTTGATGGAATATTTATCTGCTAATGGAAAAACTGTTGATGTTGAAGAGTAAGAGAGAAATTCTAGGAGCAAAATCTTTAGCAGCAGAATCTTCGAATAAGGGGAAGGGATTCAAATTCAATTTAAACAGAGGATGGGCTATAACTTGGGCTGTGCGTTATTTGAAGTAAGAGAGGAGACAGCACAGGAATGACAGTGTGGTTACTTTGTGAATACGTCAAAAAATCCTAAGTGTGGTGTTCAAATCATTAGCATTTGAGAAATTGTGCTCTGTAGCACTGAAAGGGGCAGGGGAACCTTTCACATAAAGGGATGCAGTCCTGGCCAGCATCACCGGGTACCTAATGTGTTTGATTATATACATAGGAATATGCAATCATCACAAAGAAACCTATAGATTTCGGTACCCCTATTTTACAGGCAAGGAGGCTTTAGATCATGGAGATCATGTGGATTACCTGAAGTTTAAAGTTAATAAACGGCAGTGAGCTAACCCAGCGCTTTTACTCTGTATTTCTAGTAATGAGGAAGGACAGTATCACCTGGTTAACTCTTCAGACATCAGCTTTAAATGACCAAGGATCAGATTTGGTATTGCTACATTCTCCATTTCCCATCCAGACACACAGTGCAGGATAAAACAAGAGACTAATCTGGATTTTTATACTACTCATATCAGGTTAATTATACTACTCACAGAGGGGTAAACAACCATCCACTTATTTAATAAGTTGACCATGTCTGTTCATTTATTTTTTTTGTTTCCTAACGGAACAACTTAAACGTGCCAAATTAATTGGAAGGATAACAGTCCTGAGCTCTACGTACATTCGAATCCTTTGGGCACCAACCGGCACTGGGCACTGGGAGGGCAGGGGCTGAGTTCACACCACCGAACTTCTTCACAGGCTTTCCCAGCTGTATTTGCAGGGCAGGAGCAGGAGAAGTCGTCCCACAGGGAATAACAAATGCCTCCATTGTGACAGGGATTGGTCTGAGCAGGGGGAAAAAAAAATCATCAAAAGCATTGGCAACTAGATGTGGAAATGTTAAAGGTGACAACATATATCTGTTATTTTAAAATGCCAATTTCCCTATATCTTCAGATTTTAAACATTTAATATGGATTTTAAGTATATGGAATGAAACTGAATGTTACCATTGCCCACTGCTTTCTAAAAGAGCAGCAAGGAAAGACAGCAGTAGAGAGAGGGGATGGGGAAAGAAAAAGGGGGAAAGAGAGAATGGGAAAAAAAGAGGAAATATAAAATCAATGTATAATACTAGGATGCTTGTTGAAATGTAACAATGCTTTCTGTAATTTACAAATTACCTGATATTTTCACATGCAGTAATTATTTGCAATACGGATTATTACTTTTGTTTTTACAGATGAGGGCCTTTCTGTTGTGGAAATGAAAATGAAGCTTGATATCTAGATCCTCTGGGTCCCAATTCAATGTCCTCCCTCACCATTTTCTCTGCCTCTGAATCAGAGACTCATTGTTCTTAATTCAGGTCTTACAAGTCCACTCACAAAGTATTCAAAATAAAAATATTTTAAAAGAAAACTTTTAAACTTTGTGTGTATCCCAGGTCAACTATTAGCAAACCATTCAGGATAATTACATAACTTTAATTTTATTTTTATTTTTTATTTTTTTTAGGGCCGAGGGTTGAACCCAGGCCCTCACCCATGCAAAGCACATATTCTACCACTGAACCACACCCTCAGTTTGTTACCTAAAATTTAGTTTCTTTTTAAGTAGTATAAAAGAGGATAACAATGTCTGTTTTATACAGTAATCCTTCAACAGAATTAATGGATTAATCTATGTAAAATAGTGCCTGGCCCATTAGAAGTGCTCCTATAGTAAACTCATAATGATTCCTCTGTGTATATTTAGGACTAAGGCTAGTCTGTGACCTTAGTTAGAGCTCAATAAACATGTTAACACACATCAATATGCTTCCTTCTTTTCCTCTTGAAAGCTCATGCAGAGCTGACAATTTCATATAGTTAATGTAGCCCTTAGAAGAGTATATAAAGTACATAATATAAAGCATGGGTTCTGAGAAATTATATTTCAGAGGAATTCAAATTCAAGCAAAAACCTCTCAGATTTTTTTTTTCTTGTTGATGTAATAAAAGTTCAAAACAACAATCGCTTGGTATTTAAGATAACGTTAATTGGGTCTTTCAAAAAGAGTTAGTTCAGTTAAGCCAATGGAGTACTATTAAGAGTTTAAGAAATAAAATACTAGTATTCTTAAGAAATTTGATTGATGTGGGGTAGGAGAAGCATGTAACTGAAGTTATTATCGTTGTTAAATATATCATGATGCCAAATAAGTCTACTAAAATTTATCAGAAATCACCCAGTCTGCTGGGAACACAAAGATTTAACAGGTATCTCTGATGGGCCAGTAACATTGTCGTCAGGTACAAAGGATGGTTTTATTAAATTGCATGTTAATAAAATAAAAATTTAGCATACAATATGTGCATAGTTGGTACAAATAACCCTACCTTGCAGATGTTGTCTCCCAGACAGCCTTGAGTCACATTGACAAGAATTGGACTGTGGGATGGACTGTTTGTGGAATTTGGAAAGAATTCCAGATTTTGGTTATTTAATCTTACATCTTGGATACAGCCTTTGAAGAAGCCACCATAAATTTCAGTCTCTTTCTTGTCAGGCAGGCCACCAATGTAGATGACATCTCCTCTCTGGATTTTCCATGTGGGAGCAGAAATAAATCCAAGGTTTTGTGAAGATTGATACAATTCAATTTTATTTGGCTTGATTTTCAAAGTCACTAAGTGGACATTTCCATCACTAAGAACAAATTCTACTGTGAATTTAGGAGAGCTTGGAGTCAGCAGTGCTAATCTTCCATGCTCTAGCCAGACACGAATATGCTGGTAAGTGCTGTTTTTCAAAGTTAGAAGTAAGCCTGACGGTCGATTTGTTCGGACAAACATGGAGAGGCTGAAGTTCTGTCCATAACTCCTGTCAAGATTAAAGACAGCATATCCAGTGGAGTCATCCTGGCCAAATCTGCCTGCCACATACTCTTTGATGTCAAAATAGAAGAGGAGAAACAAAGAGGAAACATCTTGAGACTCAAAAGGAAGAAGGCATAGAAGGGAAAAATTTTATATCCCATACACACACACATTTTTTTATGTTCAGGACAGACTTACTTAATAGACTAACAATTTGGCCTCATTTTCTGTAATTCTGAGTTTACTTTATCCTGAAAACAACTGCATTTGGGTCTGTAGTTCATAATTGAGGCCATCGATCACAAAAGAGAAAAAGCTAAAGAATCTCCCCTTCACTGCCCTAAAATGCTGGGGCTTAGTGGTGAAATGTCAGACACTATATTGCATTCCATCTTGGAAGAATTTTGAGTTTTGCAAGCATATTGTTCAGGCAGGCTTCATCTTTGCTATTTGTAGGCATGCTGGAGCCAATGGATTATTAAACCTAATTATTTTTTGTAAAGGACAAAAATCAAGAATTTGATTAGTAAATACTCTTTGGGATGATACCCCACATAATGAGGCAGGACAGAGGATCAAAGGAAGAGGAAGACTCTTCCTTCTGTGGTCCTGCTTGGGAGGAGAAAAGGAGAGAGAAAAGGGAGCAAAGAGGAATATTGACTCCTTTAGGCCTTTCTTATGGTTGAAGGAGTTAGAAATGCGCAAAAGAGGCAATATCAGTGATGCACACCACCTCAAGAAAACTCAAGATGTGTAAAAGTGAAACCTACATTTAAAAACATCAGTGAGGTAGTAGGAGCAAATATTCCTATCCTTATCAAATTTATACACTAGTAGGGAGAAACATACATGGCATAGATAAGAAAGTTGGCTGTGTAGTATGTCAGCACACTAGAGATCATTTGGTATAAAAAAAAGTCATAGAGAAATAGAATGGGAAGATTTGAGAATAGGGATGGGATTGTAATTTTAAATGGAATAATCAGGAAAGAACTCTCTAAGAAGTAATATTTGAGCAAAAACCCAAAGAGAGGGACATTACTGCAGTAATTCAAGAGAGGAATAATGATACCTTTAATCAGGAGGTGGTGAGAAGTCATAGGAGTTTTAAAATACTTTAAAAGTAGAACAAATAGAATTTTCTAAATCAAGTACATCTTTAAGATTTTGGACCAGCAACTAGAAGCCTGGAATTTCCATTTGTAATGATGGGGAAGAAAACTGGAGGAATTGATTTTGGAGGAAAATGGGAGTCCACATAAAATTAAAGATGCCTTATTAGATATCTACATGGAAATGACCATTAGGTAGTTGCCACAGAGATTCAGAGGAGATGTTCTGGGATAACCATAATAATTTGGTATTTTTCAGCGCACATGAAGGATTTAAAGACAGAAGACTGAATGGTACCATCACAAAAGTAAATATATAGAGAGTAAAAGAAGTGGTACAGGAACTGAGCCTGTCGGTTCCAGACATTTGGAGGCAAAGGAGATGACAGAAGAGGAATCAGTAAGATAAGAGAATCCAGTTAGAATGATACCCTGTAAGCCTGCTAAGGAGTATGTGTTACTCAACTGTGTTTGCTGTTGTTAAAAGGTCAAGTGAGAGGAAGACTAAGAAATGCCCATTACGTCTTGCAACCTAGAAATCAATGCTGAACTTGAATAAGAGCACTGTCTTAAAAATATTGCTGTTTTTGGGTTTTTGCATCCCTGTCCTAGAAGAAAAGCACATCTGAAGTGTTTAAATGTCATCATAAGGTTCAACTAAGTTTGGCCAAAAGTTAGATGTATTTTAGTTCAGCTGAGCTTTAGTGAAACTTGCTTAGGCAGCCATCTGTTTGAAGACCTCCTGCATAACAGGCTATATTTTCAGAACTCTGACTTGATTTCCTATGGAACATTGCAGTTTGAATCTTCATTTGGAGACTACCTGCTCCAGGCAACTACAGATAGCTTTCAAAGTGTACTGTTAGATAAAATAACCTCTTTGAAGAGGTTAAAATCTCTGAATACACTGCAGCACTTTCATATACGATAAAAATGCTTAATAAGAAGATTTGGCTCTTGAAGCTTAAGGATTGAGGATACATTCAAAATCATTCAACCTCAGAGGTCCCTGCTGATCAATCTAGGATCCCTGCAGTATCATTTTGCAGACCTCAACTAAAAGACAGAATACAGAGTTGTTCCCCCGCATACACCTTGAGAACCTTGACTCTTTAGTAATCCTATTCTTCAGAATCATATACAGTTAGTCAGCATGTATGATGTGCTACAAGATTTTAGAAATACCTGAAGCCAAATCTGATTTCTCTGTGGAAATAGAAGGGATAATTCTCATACATGTTTGTGATATATGTCCTGAAGATCAGTGGTAACATATGCAGATGAAAAATAAATTTTGACACGCTTTAATGATTGATGGAACACAAGATGAAATTTAATGAGAATAAATAAAAGGCGCTTAGATCAAAAAGTGCCTCATAGGTTTTTGGGAGAGAAATAGGATTCTATGACATTGTGAATGACAGTGACTCCAAGTGAGAAACCCATGTGATGTTAAGTGCCACAAAAGTGGCAGAGCATCAGTCTAATGTTAGGCTGCAACATAGAAGCATGTTATCCAGAATAAGGGAGGTTGAGGTCCTGTGACACCTTGTATCATCAAGCACATCTGCCACATTTTAGAAAGAAGAGAGACAAGCAGATTTACCGCCAAGAAGCAGATGACGGCATGTCTGAAGATCATGCCATATGGAAACTTTAGAAGAAACTAGGATGTGTAGCATGATGTGAAAAGTTTGATAGTTCTAGATGCTCTTCTTCAAGTATTTAAGCATCCTTAGGAAGAAGAGGTGTTAAGAGTTATATGACCATATCTTCAGGAATTATAACCTGACCAATAAATGAAAGCTTTGGGGAAATCACATTTCATTTAAACACAAGGACAGAACTGTTCAGGGAAATTTTGGCAAGATGGAATGAGTGAATTCACCATTTCTGAAGGTATTTAAGCAGAGTTTTGGGTCGCTACACTAGGCAAGCACAATAATGTAAAACAAACAAACAAACAAATCCAACCATGGCATGAAATTTCTTCTATAGATGTGAACTTGTAATTCTAGAAGGATAAGATTCTCAAAGTATAGGTGTATAATTGAAGATAAACATAAATTGTTTTTATAAATTAAATATTCTCCCGAAGGAAAGATACAGGTGGTGCATTTATTCTGAAGAATATCTTGGAAACTCTGTGTTCTTACACACAACCGACCCAAGGTAAGCTGGGACCACCTTACAGACAGTTTTGGGTCTAAGCTTAGGGAAACCCTTCAGAGTTCAGGCAAATTTTAAAAAGATTGACTTTAAGATATTACAAATCCCTATGCTTTTTATGTTTAGTCAGTCAATGAAATTCTCTATCAGGTCTGCTTAATACTTGCAGTGTGTAACAAGGTTGGGAAATGTTTTCCAAAAATCATGATTTGGGTGAAGTTTGTGTCTTTCTGCTTGTTAGTACCTATCCTCCCTCTTGAATACACACATACCAAAGAAAGTCCTTTTTTTTTTTCCAAAAAAATTATTTCTTTTACAAATGAGATTTACAACAAATTTCTGATATTCAACTAATGGTAAAATTCTAAGAGCATTTACAAGCATACAATTGCCAAAAGACGTGTAATTACTGCATTTAAGCATCTTTTGTAAAAGGAATATGTTCCACACAAAACATTTCTCATAGACAACAGCCAATATAGAATATTTTAGTTTTATGACTAGAGGTGATAAGAAAAATATAATTTTTCTTAAACTTATCCCAAGTATTCAAAAAAGAAAAGATTTTACAGAACTTGTTATAATCTCTTGAAGCCAAACATTCTCACAGGGATTGAACAGTTTTAAATAGTGTAAGGATATAAGGATATGGGGGAAGTAGAGGGAGTATAATCAGAAACTTGGCTTAAAAAGTTCATAATTTTCCAAGTTGGAAAAAAAATGTACTAAAGAAAACCAGAGCCCACTGGATTGGCATCTCTTGAATCTATCTGCTAGGACAGTGAGCATCGCCATGGTCAGCATTAACCTCGAAGGTCACTACATCTGGAAGTCAGTCAAAGTGAGTCAGCATCTGTTTGTTATTTTGTGTATGTACTAAAAATATTGCCTTGGGTCAATTAAATTTTGCTTCAAAAAGTGAACCATCGCCTCAGCATAATTTCCCCTTTTCTCCTTTAAAAAAAAAATCACGAAACAACTTGCCATTCTGTTTAAAATATTACATAGAGTGAGTAGATGCCATTCCTCATTGTCAAACAGGTCCATGATTTGTAATGAATATTGTGGGCAGGGGGAAACCCGTGAATAGTTTCTAATAATTCTTAGCCATTTGAACATGGAGTAAGGTATGGGCTAAGACTGGTTTTAATTTTATTTCATATAAAGCAGAGAAGACTATTTACCAGATGTTGTCCTACTTGGAGTTACTCTAAAATCTTGGAGTAAATTACAGCTGAACTTCAAAGTGGTCTGTTACAATTACCTCTCAGACTTTTTCAATGCATGATAATAATAATAAAAAGAAACAGGTATGTATTGATCACTATCAACAGCAATTTTTGACATGATGCTGGAAATAAAGGATTTTGAAATTTATTTCAAACCATGATTTGCTAGAAAAATCAGATCAACTTGTTTATGGCATCTACCAAGTTTTACTATTGTTACTTTTCACTCCCCCCCATCCCCACCGACTCTCTCTCTTCCTTCCTTCCTTTCTTTCTTTCCCCCTGTAAGACCTCTATCTGTTTTTTCCAATGCAGTTCTGGCAAAACTTGTTTTTGTCACTTTGCATGAAATTAGTGTTCTGTTAAAGTGCTAAACTTAAGCATGATTTTGGAGCAAGTATGAATTGCATAGAAAGGAGATTGAGGAAGTGAATATTTATTGGGATTCTACTAAGCACAAGAGACTATGCTAATAGGTGGCACTGACTAGTTTTGTGAATAAAGGCCTTTTACAAATGAGATTTACAACAAATTTCTGATATGAAACTGATGGTAAAATTCTAAGAGCAGGTACAAACAGCAAGATGAAAACCCATTTGAATAGGAGCTATTTGCTTATTGTTTTATTTTTCTGAGAGAAACTCAGGTCTCCTATGAATCCACTCAAAATGAACACACAGCCCTGCACTCTTCTGTTTTCTCATTAGTGGGCAAACAGCAGCGTAAGTCCTGAGGATCATTATGCTTCATATCAGTAATAGCAAGGCTGTTCTAGTGATTGCTCTGCTCTGAGGCACAGCACTCCTAGGCACCTATCCCCTCTCACCTCTCAGACAGCTGGGACCTTCATAGGGCCTGTAGCAGTCACACTGGTAGCTGAGCCACAAGTTGATGCAGCGTCCTCTATTCTGACAAGGTTGACTCTCACACCAATCCTTCCTCACGCAGCCTGCCTTGACATTTAATGACAAGCCAGATGAAATGTTCTCCCAGGTAATGGGATTCAAATCAAATTTAATGTCTTGGAGACAGCCTACAAACGAAGGTGTGGATGGGATATTATAGATGTTAAGCAGAGTGACTGCATTGCTGGCTGATCCCACAGGTAAACCACCCAAAAAAGAGTTTTGAAAAGCACATATTGATTGAGTCCTTTCAAATGGAGAAGGAACTTTAGCGATGCATTTCTCTGTACAAGAGCTGCTGGCTAAGGTAAGGGTCACGGTCTCTGCAAATATTACCTCCACTGAATGCCACTCTCCATCGCTGGTGTTGTGGGAAATGTACAGAAGCACTTTTGACTGATTATGAACTTGAATTGATAAGTGAATGTAGCCACTTAGCAACTCCATCTTTACAAATGTGTCCCTGTTCCCTTGGAAAAGTAGAAGTGCTGTTGGCTGAACAGTCTGAAACCTGAAGGCTATGTTACAAACTGAGTCCTTGGTTGTATGTGGGCTACTTGTGACCCATAGAAAGCCACTGCCCTCAAATGAAAGTGTGGTGACAGTTTCACACAATGATCCAGTATATCCAGGTGGACATAGGCAGCTGAATCCATGTTGGTCATTTTGGAAGTGAGGTATGCATACTCCATTGTTTAGACATTGGTGATGGGTGCAGCCCAGGAGAATGTCAGAACAGTTCTCTCCTCCATAAAATGTTCCAGAAATGTTGTCAAATGGGCAATGGCAAGTATAATTCCCAGGCAAGTTCTCACAAGTACCACCGTTTTGGCAAGGGTTTGATGAACATTCATCGATGTCTTCTTCACAATGAATTCCTGTTAAATAATAAACAATAGGTTAGAAATAGGTATATTCAATATGATTACATGACTGCTTTGATTCTACACCATGTACAGTCACAAGAATGAGAAGTTATACTCCATATATGTTTGCTGTGTCAAAATGCATTCTACTGTCACGTATAACTAATTAGAGCAAATTTAAAAAATAGATATATTCAGATTAGAAATAGAAATTTCACATAACTTTCATGTATAATCTCCCAGTTTAGACATATCTCAAATTTAAAACTGTAAAGGAATAAAATATAGTTCTTGAGGAAGACTAAGATCAATTTGACCATTCCATATACATTGTAAAGAGAAGAGCATTCATGATAGACTTTGAATTCTTTCTGTAGAAAAAGATCATTTGTTGATTACAGTGATTGATTCAAACTACCACTGTCAGATATACATTGAGCCCTAAATACCATAAAAATTAAAAAGGGAAAATATTGCTCTTGGCACTAATCCTACATATAAATGATTAATTTGTGGATGTCTTTTGCAATTTATAGTAGTTAAATAACAAGTTTATCCATTTATTTCACTCTATCCTATTTGGAAATAGTGATGTTTCCTTCTATCTTGTTTGTGTGCCAGATAACTCCTAAAACCAAAATTTGCAAGATACAAAGACCTGGACATCTCACACTCTGGAGCTCTTACGTGGATGGAAGGTCCCATTTCCTACTTCCCAACAATTCTAGAATAAAACAAGGCATCTATCCCATATCAAGCCCCTGCTTAAAAATTTTACTTCATTTTTATTTACTCTCTTTCCTAACTCCAAGCCTAAGAAAGACATCCAGTAAAATAATTATTAGAATTTATTTAATCAATGTAATAGGAAGAAATATAATACCATTAAGAATGATGATAAATTCAAATGAACAAATAATGAAAACAAAATTTGATATACGTGGAACACTTTATGATTTCTTCAATACCTTCCTCCACATTATTGTATTTATGCTCCCCACAATTGTCTGAGGTGTTCAAGGCAGATGTTCCTAGTTCATTTTCACAGAAGAAATGGAGGTTTAGGAAGAACAAAGTCTAAATACCAAAGCTAATTTATAATGTGACCCTAAACTATGTTTTAAAAAATCTAAAGCGATATTGTTTTTTATTGGACAACTTAGTGCACTCTTCTTTACTGTTGCCACCAGTACATATACTGTAAACAATGTGTAAATCATACAAATCAATTGAAGGGGGGAAAATCTACTTTAACCAAAATAGAGTAAGACTGAAGTCTTTAATAGGCACAAGGCTTCTTGATGGAAAAATCCTTTTCTAACCAAAGGATCCTGATGCATTAAGCAGCTCTGCCTTTTCTCATACATGAATACCCTCCACTCCACGCAGGGTTTATTAAGTCATGCCATCATGTTTTTACATGTAAAGAATAAACATTACACCCAGATTAAAGAGCTTTGGCAATAAAGTTCCCAATTAACTTAATGTCTGAATAAATGTTTTAAAAAATTTAATCAAAAGGCTGTTAGATATGGTGTTAGATATGAATTCCAGTTTGGCTATATGATCTTGAACAAGATACATTTACTTTCTGTGTCTTAACTTCCTCATCTACAAAATGGGGTGAATAAGAGTGTTTTTTTGTATTGTAGGGTTTTTTAACCAATGAAGTAAGTGAAGGCATATACAATGCTCATATCATCATTTGGATATAAGTTCTCAGAGAGTGTCGGCCATTACTAAAAAATAATAAACAAAAGAATTAACCCTCTACTGACAACATTTGAATAGTTCTGTGATCATTGAAAGAGACAATCTAAAATGCGTGGTCTAGGTAGTACCCCTCAATTGCACAATTTTACATAATGAGAGATTTATATGGATAGCATGTTAGTGTAGAATCTCACTGGATTGTAAGTTCCGTCATGCAAGGGAAAATGACTGTTTTATTCATCAATGTATGTCTAAAACACAGCTTAGTGGTTGGCTTGTATTTGGCATTGTTTGATTAGGTTTTTAAATGAATTAATCAATAATGACCATCCTTAAGTAATAAACACATTTAATCTGATCCAAACTCCAAAATGCTCTTCTTGTGTATACTTCTGGATATAGGTAGACAGTGCTAATCTTGGGTATCTGCTACCATTGATGTACCCTACATTTAGAAACTTGATTGGATTCTATTGTACTTATATGTTACTGTACTTGGATTACTTCTATATAGCTCTTGTTAATTAAAAAAATTAAGCTCTGTGAAAATAGTAAATGCACTATAAACTAAAATTTCTGACAATGCCTTCACAGTGCTAAGGGTACATGATTTAAAATGTTTGATGAATATAACAGAGTTGAACTGAACCAATCTCTTACTTAATCATTCTTAATACAGAGAACTGACAAAGGTATGACAGGTAAAGCTAAATCCTAAAGGAGTGTTCTAGTGCAAGTTAAATTTTACTGACTTTATGAATAAGTTAAACTTTTATATTAGAAGATATTTTCTTAAATTTGATTTTCCCAGTATTTAAAAATAATTAATCAACCAGTATTTAATTAAGAGGAATATTGGACAACTTGTGATGTGAAGTACAACCAAGCAAAATACTATTATTTTTCTCTCACTAATAGGGGAAAGATGTGCCTTGCTTCTGGATAATATCTCCAGGAGACTGCATGATTTTTCTGCTCACTCTTAGATAAAGAGTCATGATCATTTAAAAAAAAAAAACAAAAACAAATGGCAATTAAGATGGCCAGTCACATATAATTATAAAAGTCTCAATGCAATTCACAATAACCTAAATCTCTTTTTCTGATAGGCCGAAATTAGGCTGTCTTAAAGGAAGACCTGAAAAATTTCTTCCCTCTGTTTCTGTTCCTTTACTGTCTCTATCTCCAAACTTCTAAGTGTTCTGACCCTTAGAGGACTAGAGTTTGTGGGAGGGAAGAGGATACAGGGAGTAGAGTTTGCTGAAGGGGAAGACTAGAGTTTGTTGAAGGGGAAGAGGATACAGGGAGTTTTCACCTGACAAGAGCTAATGTAGCATGATTCATGTCCACTGAGCCTAGAAGGTCCTTAAAGTTTGTATTTGCTCTAGGGTCATTTCTGAGTTCCTTAGACCCTCTTTTGCTCTGTTCCTGTAGGGACCTGTGAGGAAGGGAGGCCTGGCCTTTCCTATGGCTAGCTGTTCTCACAGTTCCCTTCTCCCTCCACCCCCTATGTATTGGTTTACAGACACTGACTCCTTTTTCACCAACTCTCTCTGTCCATGTGGGCTCCCTCACCTTCTGACAGAGGCCTGTTGGGAAGGTTCCCTTTTACCTGATCCATTCACTGATATTCCTATCATGGGTTGCCCATCTGGACCTCGGGATTCCTGTACCTTTGACCTGCAGTTGAGGGGAATGGACATTCAATTTCTAGCACAGCACAGCAGGAATTCTCTCTCCCTCTCTTTCCTGCCTCCTCAGATTACCAGTCACCCCCATTAGTATTTAGATTCCTTAACCAGGTAGAGTCTTGTCTAAACTGATGATTTCTTTCCCCACCCCATGTTTAGGCAATACTGAAATTGTTCTTGACGCAGACTTATTTTGCTTGGGGTTGGAATGTAGCTTCTAACTCTAAATTTGAGGGGTGCTATGTAATTCAAAACATAGTCTCTTGAAAGAAATCTCTCTGTAGACCCACTGTTTATAACTACCTCTGAAGAATCTTTACATGATCTTGAATGAGAGTAAACATTTCAAATTCCTGAAATCTATTATCTTCATTTATTGTGATTTTCTATTTTTTGATGTCTATAACTCACTTTAGTACCCTTAGTTGACCCTTCAATTTACCATCTCTCAAATTTACAAAATACCTGGTTTGTGTCCTATTCACAGAGGATTGTGGGAGAAGAAAAATAGAAGAGTATCGACTTCAATATGTTTCAATATGCTCATGACATCATGGAAGGACAAAATGTATATTTATGAAAATACCTTGTAGACAGTACGCTCACAGTTGGTGTGGATAATATGTGAAGATCAAACTCTGGCAACCTTAGAGAAGGTTTCACAAAGTTTCAAGTATGGGTCAGATTGACAAAAGAGTCATCATATACAAAGAAGTGACTAAACAAAACAGTCTTCAATGGAAGAAAATTTCAAGGCATTTTGAGATTGACAATGAGTTGGGCAATCTGGTTGGCAAGAAGGATGTATGAAGGAAAATCAAGTCGGAAAGATTCAATGCAGCCAGATTGGAAGTCTGGGAACTGAGAAAGTTTTTATTTTTATTTTTATTTATTTACTCATTTATTTATTTTCTGGCCATGGGAAACAATAAAGTAATTGTTGGATAGAAGACCAATGTGGTTTCTCATAAAGATCACTCCCACTGGAATATGTAACAGAATGAATGAAGAAAAACTAGAGACAGAAAGACACTCCAGGCAGCTATTAAAATTGTTTACACAGAGGACTATTAGAGCCTGAAATAGGATGCTTATTTCCTCACAATTTACAGCTCTCTTTCATTTATACTTCACCAGCAAATATGATGGTAGGTCTTTCTTTATTGTTTACTACTAGATTTTTTTTCCTGTAATTCTTCCACTTGATCTTCCATAAAACAACTACCAAATCTATCTATCTATCTATCTATATGGAGAGAGAGAGAGAGAGAGAGAGAGAGAGAGAGAGAGAGAGAGAGAGAGAGAGAAGCTAGTTTTAAATTCTGCCATCATTCCAAATAAATAAACAAGCAAAACAATAAAAAAGAAGAAAGAAAGCCTATATTAGGGTCAAATGTCTCAAGAACAATAAACAGAATTTGAAAAGTGTGATGATAACAGTGATTTATGTTCTTGCTTTAAAAAAATCAATTCTATTGACATCTTCAAAGTAAAATAAAGTCCAACATATTTATTTAAGGAACCCAGTAAACTAAAAGTAGGAAAACAGATTGAAAATCCTTTCATTGGTTATTTGACTGTCTGAACAAAGAGAAGCTCTATTGTTAA